CAGCTGCTCCTCTTCCAGTCCAGCTCTCTGCTGTGGCCCCGGAGTGCAGTGGAGGATGGCCCAAGTGTTTGGGCCCTGAACCCTCATGGGAGACCAGGAGAAGCACCTGGCTCCTGGCTTCGGATCAGCACGGTGCGCTGGCTGCAGCAGCCATTGGGGGTGAACCAACAGAAAAGGAAGACCTTTCTCTCTGTCTCTCTTTCTCTCACTGTCCACTCTGCCTGTCAAAAAAAAAAAAAAAAAAAAAAAAAAGGAAAGGAACGCCCTCTGATCAGTTTCCTCAGAAACACTCCTTTGGTGTTCTTCACACAATAAAGGCCATATTTGACAAGACTATTCTCAACAATGGGGATGTGAAAGCTTGTTCTTGAAGATTAGAACAAGAAAGAGATGTCCACTCTCATCACTTCTGCTCATTCAACATGGTACTGAAAGTCTTAGAGCAATTAGGTGAGAAAAAGAAGCAACTGGAATCCAAATAGGAAAAGAAAAAGTTAAATTTTCTGTGATTGCTGACAAAAACAACCTTATAGATAGAAAACCCAAAACAGTCTACCAAAAAGTTGTAAAAACTAATATGCAAAATAGTAAAGCTTCAGGATGCAAAATCAACACATAAAGATCAGTAGTGTGTCAATACACTAACACAAACTATCAGAGAAACAAATTAAGAAAATAGTCCCATTTACCAAAAAACAAAAAATGCTTGGAAGTAAATTTAAACATGTGAAAGAGCTGTATACTGAAAACTATAAAATGTTGATAGAAAAATGTGATTCAAATAAATTCCTGATTTCAAAATAAATTACAAAACTACAGAAATCAAAACAACAGGATACTTGCATACAAACAGATCAATGAATGGAATGAGATAGTTCAGAAACAAACCCAAACAATTTTAGTCAATTGATATTTGACAAAGGGGCCAACTACACACAATAGAGACCAGTTAGTCTCTTTAAAAAAATTAGTGTGGGAAAAACAGATTATATGTGGAAGAATGAAACTGGACAAATATATAATATAAAATAGTAAATTCAAAATGATTAAAGACTTAAACCAAATATCTGAAACCATAACCAAAGTACTAGAATAAAACTTAGGAGAAAAACTATATGAAATGGTTTTGAGCAGTGATTTCTTAGATATGAGTCTCCAAGCAAAAACAAACACATGAGCTTACATAAAACTCAAAACCTTCTGTATAGCAAACAAAATACGAATATTGCAAAGAGATATTCTACATGTTTGGAAAAATATATGATAATCGGTTAATATCCAAAATATATAACAATTCAATAACAAGAAAACAGCACAATTAAAACACAAATTATTTAAATAGACATATCTCAAAAGAAGACATACAAATGGTCAATTGATAGATGAAAAAATGTTCCAGTTCTCACTAATCATCAAGGAAATGTAAATTAGAACCACCACAATGAGATATAACCTACACTTGTTCCAATGGCTACTATCAATTAGATGAAAAATAAATGTTGGGAAAGATAGAGAAAAAAGGAAACACTTGTACTCTTTTGATGGGAATGTAATAATACAGTTCTTTTGAAAAATTGTGGCAGTTACTCAGAAAATTGAAAACAGAACTACCATATGACCGGAAACCCCACTTTGAGCATGTATAGCCCAATGAAATGAGTCAGCTGAAGAGATATGTTTATTCCCATGTTCACTGTAGCATTATTCACCGCAGTCAAAATGTGGAATCAACTCAAGTGTCCATCCATAGACAAATGAATAAAGAAAATGTATATACACAAAGGAACACTACTAACCTTTTAAAAAGAAAGGAATTCTATCACTGGCAACAGCAAGAATTAACTTGTAGGACATTAAGCTAGATGAAATAAACCAGGCACAGAAAGACAAACTCTGCATGAGCTAACTTATATGTGGATTCTAAAAAATCCAAACTCGGTATTCAACCAAAGGTATTAGGTAGAACAAACAAACAAAAAAATACTAAGCGGGATAACATATTAAGTTGTTCATCAACAGTCAGGGCAAGGGCTGATCAAGTCACTGTTTCTCATAGTGTTCATTTCACTTTAACAGGTTTCCTTTTTGGTGCTCAGTTAGTTGTCACCGATCAGGGAGAACATATGGTATTTGTCCCTTTGGGACTGGCTTATTTCACTCAGCATAATGCTTTCCAAATTCCTAACAGGGATCACTTTTCAGTTAAAATTTAAACACCTAAGAATAATTGTGTGTTAATTACAGAGTTCAACCAATAGTACTAGAACTAAAACAACAACAACAAAAAAAACTAAAATGGATAAAGTATTACATTGTACATCAACACATCAATACACAGTTGTTCTCAAGTGTTGAAACTTAACTGAAAAGTGATCCCTGTTAAATATAAGAGTGGGAATAAGAGAGGGAAGAGATGTACAATTCGGGACATGCTCAAGCTGACTTACCCCAAACGGTAGAGTTAGAAACATACCAGGGGATTCCAATTCAATCCCATCAAGATGGCATGTACCAATGCCATCTCACTAGTCCCAGTGATCAATTTCTGTTCACAGTTGATCATAATGATCGGTCTAAGAGCCAAAGGGAGCACATAAACAAGACTAGTGTCTGCAAATACTAGCTGATAGAATAAAAAAAGGAGAGAATGACCCAACATGGGAAGCGAGATACAGAGCAGACCCATAGAATGGCAGATGTCCTAAATAGCACTCTGGCCTCAGAATCAGCCCTTAAGTCACGCGGATCTGGCTGAAAAGCCCATGAGAGTATTACAGGCATGGAAAGCCAAAATATTCTGGCAAAAAAAAAAAAAAAAAAAAAAAAAAAAAAAAACACCTAAATGAAAGATCTCCGCGAGTGAGATCCCAGTGAAAAGAACAGGTCATCAAAGAAGGAGGTACCTTTCTCTGAAGGGAGGAGAGAACTTCCACTTTGACTACGACCTTGTCTAAATATGATCAGAGTTGGTGAACTCAAAAGGCTTCCATAGCCTTGGCGACTCATGACAAGAGCTTAGAGTGATTCCTGATGCCATAAACAAGAGTGTCAATTTGTTAAGTCAACAACAGGAGTCACTGTGCACTTACTCCTCATGTAGGATTTCTGTCCTTAATGTGCTGTACATTGAGATTTAATGCTATAACTAGTACTCAAACAGTATTTTTCACTTTGTGTTTCTATGTGGGTGCAAACTGTTGAAATCTTTACTTAATATATGCTAAACTGATCTTCTGTATATAAAGAGAATTGAAAATGAATCTTGATGTGAATGGAAGGGGGGAGGGAGAGGGAAAGGGGAGGGTTGCGGGTGGGAGGGAAGTTATGGGTGGGGGAGCCATTGTAATCCATAAGCTTTACTTTGGAAATTTATATTCATTAAATAAAAGTTTAAAAAAATAAAAACAACTTAAAAAAAATCCAAACTCGGGAACAGGAGTTTAGCCTAGTGGTTATGACATCAGAGTTCCTGGGTCGGACTCCCATCTCCTACTCCTGATTACAGCCTCCTGCTAATGTAGATGCTGAGAGGCTCCTGCTCTCCAGGTGGGAGACCTAGATGGCAGATGTGGCTCCCTGTTTTGGCCCTGGCCCAGCTCCAGCAGCTGTGGGCAGCTTGGGAAGTGAACAAGTAGGAGAGAGAACTCTTTTTTTTCTCTCTTTTTTATAAATAAATAATAAATAATGGATAAATAAATGAATTTTTTTAAAAAAATTCATACTCATAGAAGTTGAGAGTAGAATGGTGGTTACCAGAAGACTGGGGTGAGAAAAAGGGGTTGAGGAAGCGAAGAGGTTAGTCAAAGGATTTAAAGATTCAGTCAGGGGCCGGCACTGTGGTGTAGTGGGTAAAGCTGCAACCTGTAGTGCCAGCAACCCATATGGGTGCCGGTTCAAGTCCTGGCTGCCCCACTTTCAATCCAGCTCTCTGCTATGGCCTGGGAAGACAGTGGAAGATGGCTTAAGTCCTTGGGCCCCTGCACCCACGTGGGAAATCGGGTAGAATCTCCTGGCTCCTGGCTTTGGATCAGCACAGCTCTGGCTATTGTGGCCATCTGGGGAGTGAACCAGCGGATGGAAGGCCTCTCTATCTCTCTCTCTGCCTATGCCTCTCTGTAATTCTGCCTTTCAGAAGAGTAAGTTATACCAACAGATTGCACAGCAAGGTGACCACAATTAGAACCATACTGTGTGTTTCAAAATTGCTTAAAGAATAAATTTTAAATGTTTTCACCACAAATAAATGCAAAGTAAGTGGGGCAGTGATATCTCACTTAGGGTGATAAAATCATGAACATGATATTCATATAACACACCATTGCCTTGTATCCTTAAATATACACAATTATCATTTGTGAATTCATAAAAAAAATTCCTTCCTTCAAGTGAACACTGTGCACAGGAGGAAACGAACACTCTCAATCAAAGTTCATTTCTGTCACGTTAAGGCATTAAAAATAGAATCTTGTTGTATTTACTCCAAGGATGAATATGGAAAATAAAAGATGTTTTAAATACAGAGTAGATGTCTCAATAACGGATTTCATTTACTACAGACACACTACAAAATATGAGGGCACTTCAGAAAGTTCATGGAAAATGTATTTCAAAGATAAGTTTGCTTTATTGCAAAAAATTTTGAAATCCATATTTAGGGAGGGAGACTTCAAAAAACTCATATTATGAAAAACTATGCACGGCTTTCAAAATTAATTTATAGTAAACAAAATTACCTTCTATTTCCATTTTCCAAAAGCTTTTTGAAGTACCCTTGGATATGCATTCACATTTAGCAAAACCAGAAAAAAACAAGATAGGAAAAATTTATTGATGAGATGAACTGATACAAAATATATAAATTGCCCTTGCCTTTGGAACTGAGATTATAAATTTGCTTCATAGTCAACTGAGGTGTGATTAACATTTAAGTACAAAGGTTATTGAACACTTTAGCACGAAGGTTTCTCCATGAGCTACTTGGATTTATAGGATCACCCTACCAGCATTTCTTTTGAAGCTGAGTTTTCTGGGACAGGAGATGCTGGAGCACGTCATCCAGCTGAGGGTTGTCCCGCTGAACACAAGACCATGCAGCAACACTGTGCCAGAGCAGGTGGTTAACTTCATACCCTCTCTGATCCAATGGCAACTGTCCCTGAAATTACAATAGAAAAGTATATCTGTGTGTGATTTGAACAAATGTGAAAATAAATGCTAAATTCACAAATGAAAATGCATTCTCTTAACATCTCATGCCTCACCAACTGAAGCAATTTATGTAAGTGTATTTCTGTTAAGTCTATATGGACAGCTAGCCTGAACCTAACGCATTTTTTTTCTCATAGGGATCCCCTGTTCACTGATATCAGTAATACTGTATGAGCCATACCTTGTATCCTTAAGGGATATCTGACAGCTAAGGAGTATCTCTGACAGCTAAGGAGAAGGGGACCTGAGAAAGTCTGAACAAAGACCTAATAGCAGTGTAGATTTTAAACTATGGGTTTCTACTTTAAGAACCAAAATATATGCCTAACAGGATACAGTCAATGTCTATGAAATAACTATTTTAAAAGCCTAGAAATTCAGATAAAGAATGGGCTGTTGTTTTTTCCTTAGAGTGCTCCCTAACACTTACACAGATTTAAGTGCCTACGAAAGTAACTGGTAGACAATAACAGAACAATCTCATTTACTTATTTACCAACAGTGAAGAGTCAAAGGCACATCCTGTGAGATGTTCTCAGACTGTTAACTGAGTTGATATTTTGTGCTCTTAAAAAAAGAAACTCTTGGGGCTTAACCTATAGCAGGTTAAGAAACTGCCTGTGATGCCAGTATCCCATATGAGTGCTATTCCAGGCTCAGCTGCACTGGTTCCAACCCAGCTCCCTGGTAATGGCCTGGGAAAGCAGCAGAAGACCGCCCAAGTGTTTGGATCCCTGAACCCATGTGTGCGACCTGGATGAAGCTCCAGATTCCTGGCTTCCACCTGGCCCAGTCCTGGCTGTTGCAGCCATTTGGAAACTGAACCAACAAACAGAAAATCTTTCTCTCTCTCTCTCTCTCTCTCTCTCTCTCTCTCTCTCTCCCCCCTCCACACCCATCTGCCTTTCATAGAAATAAATAAATCTTAAAAAAAAAAACACTTAAAATCTAAAGTGCTTTATAACTGTTACTCACTGAATAGAAAAGAATCAAGGTTAAAATTTAAAGATAATTTTCCTGTTGAGCACTGTCAAAATACAAGGCCAAAAGTTCATACATAAATTATAGACTAAGACATTTTTTGAGTAAACTGTTTAGTGAAATCCCTTGGAACTGTATTGATCTATTTTATGTAAAAGACATAGCTGTTGGATGCTGGAGCTAAAGGCATGAGCAAGACAAATTCTGCACAAGGCTGCCAACTCAGGAAAAACACTTCAGTAAAGCAAATGGTATCTAATATGTCTTGAGAATTTTAGAATATTCCATGTAAGAGCTTTATTCTAAAATAATATGACATTATTTATGCACACTTAACTCAGTTTCCTTCTTTTGTGGTAGAGCCCATCCAAAATATGGAACCTACACATAGCAAATTCTCTTCTCAACTCGTTCTAGCTGCCTCAGCCTGGATGCTCAACAATCCTCTGCATGAAAACTTATCCTGAATAAATAGGCTAGTAACGAGATGTCTAGAAACGTTTAGACGACTTGACTAATTAAAATAATCGGTGCACTTTTCCATGGTTATACAGACTAATCATTTAAGTAAAAAAAAAAAATCAAATCAGTTAACACAATCACGCACCATCAGCAGAGAAAATTCCTGAAAGTATTTGGTAAAGGAAAAATGAGGATTTAGACAATGAACTAGATGTAAGTTTAGTTTTCAGTTTTACATGATGTCATTGTTACTTATGAATGACAAAGGAAAAAATGCAGCCTTTGATGTCCATGACTTAGGACAGTATGTTGTTAGAAGGTCACAATGGGGTCATGTGGATCTCTTGTTGGACATCAATTCCTAAAACTCCACATGATGTATAATAAACAAAGTCATTGAAAAACAAATTTTTTCTAAACACAGACAGAAACAAAGCCCTTGGGTATCTTACTTTTTTACACCATCAACTCTAAAGAGAACCCTAGGATCACCCAAAGTCCAAGTACTGTGATAGAATCATTCTCACACCCTCTTTCTGCGACACTTCATCGTCTCCTGTAGAGTGTAGTATCCCTTCGCAACAAGTAATAAACACAATATGGCTACCTGTGCCCTTGTGTATTTTAAGCATTTTCATGGAAATCGTCCTAGTTTCTTCCCTGCTTTTAAAAAATATGTATCAAACTTGGGTGACTCGATTTATTAAGCAATGTTGTGTTTTAATTCAATTGCCATGTATAGAATCAGTATAGCAGAGAGGGTGAGCCTTAGTAAGTGGTGTAAACTGCTTTACCTTTTCACTAAAGCAGTCCTGCCCACGATGTGCTTGATAGGTACGTACCATTTTCAAAATGTTACTAAGAGGGTGGACATGAAGAAGAAACAACTTGCAGGACATATCATTTCTGTGTATATAAATATATATAATTGTTATATATAGTCAAACAAAAATTAAGCTTGTATTTTATATCTTTTTGTTCTATTTTTCAGTAATTTTCATTACTATATTATACAAAGGTGTTGTTCTTCAAGGGTTTGGAAAGAAAAAACGGTTGGACATCGATTGTTACCCCAGGCACGTGGCTGAGAAGCACTGAGCACTGCACTCAGTGACTCGTAGGACCTTTAGCTGCCCTCTTGCCTCCCTTCCTTTCCTTGTTCTCCAAATCCTATGGTTGTGTCCTCTCCCTCCTTGTTGTCCAGGTTTGGACTCTCAGTTGTAGCTTGTACAATGCCAACTTAGTGACTACTCTGAAAAACCCATTTAGCAAAGCACTGTTAATCGACAGCTGGCTGGAACTCTAAGCGAATTTAGGTAGACAAACCAGCGAGAAGTGACTGGTGAAGTGTGGACTCTGCGTTGAGTGCTCAGAGTTTTCTGTGTTTCATCTCTGCTTTTATTCATTTGGGGGATTGTTGACATTGGCATTAAAAAGACCTCTCAATACAAATGTGTTAACCTGGAAAATACGATGTGGATCATAGTGTAATGATCCTAATTTTAAAGAACCTCTGTCTCAGTCTAATTCAATTCCTGGAAACTATTTTTAACTAAAGTATGGGATAAAATGTCCCAGGTACTTAATACATCAGAGGGTGAGCTTGCTAACCACATGAGAATACTCACTGCTTTTTAGAGATCTAATATGTAGAACACATGAGAAATATTTGAGATGCAGAACGGGTGACAATCTTCAATAAACAGTCTACTGAGTTTTAGTTGTGTTTAAATATACATTCTCCAAAGAACTATGTTGCTTTTACATGTGACAACTGTGCTCAGGAAAATTCAGCTATGCTGGAGCAGAAATTTCGGACAGAGTGGAAAACTCCATCCAGGGCTCAGACCCTGCAATCCTCAGAGCTAATTAAAGAGTACCATTTGTCAAAGTCAGTGGAAACCCTCTAAATTCACTTAAAAGGACATCAAAAAGAGAAATGGGATGCAGTAGCTGAAGAGAGGAAATGTCCTATTCTTAAGTAGAGCCAACAGTCACATTTTGTGTGTCCTGATGTATAAATTCTACAGACTTTTAAAAGCAAATTTAGCAACACTTTGATGACAAATTAAGGAATTATTAAAAAGCGTATATTTTACAGCGGAAATTTTAGCATCTTCAGAGGATAAGGGCTGAAGGAAAAAATAGATTCACAAATCCTCTTCGATAATTAATAATAAGGAAGAAAGAAAGGTGGTTGCAAATGTATCAGTCATGTTTTTATCTCTTTTTTCCCCCTGCTAGGCACTCCAGAAGGTGAGAGAGATGGGCGCTGAATGAGTAGGTTCTCGGGGGAACTCCAGAGGCTGGCTTAGATTACGCTCACTAGAGAAAGGGGGCTGACAGTGGGAAACGTGACAGCACACAATCTGCTGATTGGCCAAGTCAGCAGCTGTAGCAGGGACGAGGCTACAGTCCCTATCACGAAGTAAGTAGGAGGCAGAAAAGGGCAACAAAACGGACAGCCCTCATCTGGGAAGACGCCTTCCTGGAATCACAAGGGTAGAGCTGACAGGATTCTGAAGAGACTGAATCTAAGCCCTTTTGTTCTGCAAAGTGGAAAAAGACACAAAGGCTTACGGACTCACCCCCACTCTGAGCAGATACCTTCTTGTCACGTGCTGACATTTTTAGCCTTTCCAACCTGGGCTGAGCTGTATGGCGCTAAACATTCATTTGCTGTCTGTGTGTGTACCGAGAGTGACAAAATGGGTTAGTGCTCAGAGAGCCTGGAAGTCAACACTGAAAGCTGCCTGCCTCACAGCTAGAATGTGCATATGGCCAAGATTTCATGGCATCTTACTTGTCTAAAAAACACTCAAATCATTCCATTAAGTCAACAGAAGCATGCCTTTGGATGAAAGTTACTGGGTTTAATTGTGAATTCCTAAATGTGGTTTTTAGTCGTCCTAACTTCCACTTACACGGCACTTCATAATCTATAGGCACCACCTTTCTTCAGCTCTTCACAGCAAAAAGAGTGAGAGCAGACACAGTGGTGACGGTGGTGGTGACAAGGATGACTGCCAAAGCTAAGCTGGTGGAGGTGCGGAGAGCTCACAGAACCTCCTCTAGATCACTCAGCCAATCGCTGAGCAGTGTTCTTTCCAGTGCTCAATTTGTGGTCATTAGTGATTATAACTAGCAGGCTCAAATTACTGAACAAACGTGTCTTTGTATCAGTCATTCACAAGGTTCAAAAAGATTACCTTAAATGTTTTTGTTTATATGTTTAATTTATATCTAGCATTAGAAAAGGTCCAAAGGAAGCCTGGGAAAATCGTGAGATAGCAAATATATAAAATCAATGAGAAAGAACCTACCTTAAATTGCCTTAGTTGCTTTTATGTTTATGTTTTATGTTTATGTTTAACATAACTAGCATTATGTTAAAAAAGTATTTTTCCCTTTTTTAGAAATTGTTAGAAAATTAATTTTCTATCCATTATAAAAAAGGTATGTGTAACAGAAAACAAAATGTGCACATGGTTTCATGGAGTTCGTCTGTTTCCCTTGCACCCCTCGCCGAGAGCGAAGTCCATCTCTAGCAGTGCTTACTGAATTGACAGGCACAGCTAGTTCATCCTAGTAATCTTATGTGATGCAGCATACAATAGCGTATACCCACCATGTCAGAGCACATGTTCCCAGAGGCCTCCTGGTTTCCCATAGGGCTAAAAACTGATCCATAAAGGTGTTCTCTTTTACATATAATTTCTGAGATTTTCAGGATAAATTGCACTTGTAAAAGGATGTTTGGATATTGATTGTATGATTCTCCAGAGAAACAAAGTGCTATCGTAAAAAATGGATAAATATTTCATTAGTATATTGCATTTGCTTCATTTCTCTTTTAGTTACTAAACTATAATTATATCCTGTACATAGAAGCCAAAACCGCTGTACAATTCTCCATCTAGGTAAGATTTATAATGTTATGTCTGCCCCCTGGTGGTGAAATATAAAACTACAATATAAATAATTCATTCTTAAGAGTTTATGTAATTGGGAACCGCAATTGCATACTGGTTGAGTGCCCAATTAAATATTGTTACTGATCAACAATGCTTGGACGCTTTCGGCTGAAAATTAATCAAGTTGTAATGGATATTGTATCCACAATGGATACTTTGAAATTACAATTCTGCCAAAAAAAAGTCTTTGCTTCTAGTCCAATGTTTTTCAGTTTTATTTCAAGACGTTTTTATTACTGATTTTTAAAGGCACATATTTTAAATGTAGGAAAAATGTCGTTTAGTATAAGACTATGATATTCAACAGAATCGTCTTGGCGGCTGTCCTATAAACTCTTAGATATTCTTTGAGTTTTGGTCCATCCACATGGTGGAAAAATTAGTAATGACAATTCTTCTACACAGACAAGGAGCCAATAATCCATTAAATGTTTGTGTTCCCCAAAATTCTCCTCCTAGACTTAGTTGCTCCCCATTCTGATTATCTCAGCCACATGAACATAAATGACTGTCACATCTGGATCCCAGGCTGCATTTGTTTCCCCCAGTTCCAAAGCTACATTTTCAACCACCTGCTGAGTTCACATAGCTGTGAGTGAATGCAAAATTCAGAATTCCAATATTTCTCCAAATCATGACCCCAAAACTTCAGCTTCCTCTTGAATTCTTCACTTTCCTTTATGTATAGCCAGATCCAACTGATAACCAAGTCCAGTCTCTCTCTCCTAAGCATTTTCCAGAACAATTTTACTGTATGCCATTCCCCTTGTAAAAGTTGCCACCTTTAACATTTTTCCCTCTAGGAACATCAGAGCTAACTGGCCTCCTGCATCCACTCTCTCTCCTTATCCCCATCCAGCATTTACATTGCCATGGGAGTTCCCATATTCAAACAGGAAATTTCTTGAAAATCAGTGACACAAACACTACTAAATAAGGGACTGAGTAACAAACAAGGTCACACACTTAAGTAGGAAGGAAAGTTGGAAGCTGGACACAGAATGGGGAAGTCAGCAGGGAGTGTGGGGGTGGGGATGGGGAATGGGGCATGAGCAATGGCATGGGAAAGGAAGGATATTGGTCCAAGGTACAAAGTTTCAGTTACTCAGGAGGAATAGCTTCCAGTGATGTATTGCACAGCACTGTGATGAGAGTTAGGGACAACATATGTTTCAAAATTGCAAAGAGAGCTAAGAGAGTAGATTTTAACTGTTCTTAACACAAAGCAATGAAAAGTCTGCATATGGGGGCACAACAGCTGAACTAACACTGTTTGGCCCAGGGGCTTTGCTCTTCAACACTGCATTTATTACCTCTCATGAAAAATAAAACACAGCTTATGCTCTTTACAGTGACAGTCTAAGTTCTCACAGTGTGACATAAAAGATTACACGTGTGAAAAATGGAAAGGATTCTACCATATAAAAACGGTTGAAGCCGAAGTAAATGTGGTTGAAAACTTTCTAGGTGACCATGCAGGAAATATATAAAAAGTCGCAAGAAGATCAAATAGCCAATCTGTCAAGAGAGAAAAGAAAAGAGTATTTTGTGTTGCATCGATAAGTGCTTAAAAACCATAAGGAAAATGAATCATTTTGTTATTGCATTTACTTTTGATGAAACAACTTCAAACTCACTTCATATTATGTATTTTTGCAATAACTGCAAGACATTTGTATCAAGTTGAGAATGCTAGTTCAACCAAAAAAATTCCATAAATCATCTCTGCATTACACATAATAACCAATACTGAATGCCATGTTGTTCTATATCCTTTAAAACAGTATTTTTCAAATTGCAATCATACTCCATAAGTGAGTCATGAAATCAACTGAGAGAGAGGTTTTAAATAAAAGAAGAAGAGAAAATGTCAGAGTATATCCTCGTTCCAGTAGTGAGTGCATTTTATGTGTGTGCTACATTACAATGCAAAGGTTATTTCTTTACATGGGTCTTAATCAAACCAGTCTGGAAAAAAAAAAAACAGTTTGAGGCATTTCTGAGAAACATTCTACTTGTGCATAGTGTGCTGTACTATGCTCCCTAGGCCCTCACAAAAAAATAAAACTTGCAGTGTCATTACTAAATAAGTACTGAAAATCTTACTTCTGTGACATTGAAAATACATGTATCGCTGAAGTTTGTTTTCCATAGACTACAAAAAAGAGAATAACCATAAGAATATATAATATATAAGACTTCACAGTAAATTAGTAAAAATATATAAACTGTGAATAAAAATAGAATATAAGTTGTGTAAGTTGCAAATCATGAAGAAGAATCAAATAACAGGAATAGCTATAACTATCTTGTGTGTTTGTGTGTCTGTGGTTATATAAAGAGATAGATATTTCCAAATCCTCTTAACAGCAATGCAGAGTATCATTATCATCATCATTATTATTATTATGATTGATATTATTATATATGTAGAAGATGAATCTGACCAAGCCCCAGTATTTCACATAGACTAGTAAGTCAGTACATGGCATTACCAAGACTTTGAACGCAGACAGTATGTATTGCTCTAAAAGCCACAAACTTTCTACTGCAGCAGTGACTTTCAATTATTTCTCTTACATGCCTCTGTCATTAACAGGTCTTGAGAATTCACTATCCATACTTGTAAATATAAATTATAAACTTGTACCCTTTGTAGACTTACAAATAAATACAAATAAAATGTAGCTAAGGCATGCCAATAATGTCTCTTTCTCTAGGCCACTTGTTCCTGTTCGTGCTTCTCTCAGAAACTGAAGTTAATGAAAAAGTCACGGAGGTCAGTAGACCACTTGAAAGAGTGGGTCAGTGTTCTGGATGACAGTGTTCAGGCGGCAACTCCCACAGGTACAGCCCACAAATTAACAGAAGTCGTAAGGAGAATAATTTAAGGATTTTTCAAGGGATTAGAGATCAATATTGAAAAGAACATTCATTAATGTTCAAAAATTTAATTTAAAAGAGAAAATATATGAAAAGTAGGTCAGTATGAAAAACTTCTGTATTACAACCCAATTTGGTCATGAATTTTCACCTGATTCAAAGGTTATCTCTAGTTAAAGCTATGCTTGCAGAAATGGTTTTCAAAGTTTTCATATGTAATATTCTGAAGACTAGATTTTTACTGAAAAGTCTGCCTTCCCATATCTCTAAGGAATGCCGGGCTCTCACTGCATCACTCCTCATGTGACATCCGTGGATGTTCTCCCTGCACCCTGGCACTGCAAGCTTTGCCTCCTCAATGCAACCTCTGCTCCCCCAATCTCTTCCCCCACACTCCCAACATCCCTCCCATTTCCTTTACCTCCCTTTCTCCTTCTCTTCCTGTCTGTTCTCTTCATTTCTCCAGCCCTTTCTCTGCATTGATTATTGAAAGTTTGAAGAGCACTGTCTATATTCAAAAAAGATTTATTGATTTATTTTGACAGAGTTACAGAGAGTTACAGACAGAGCGAGAAAAAGAGGGAGATCTTTCATCAGCTGGTTCACTCCCCAGATGGCCACCACAGCCATGGAAAATCTGTATCTATGTAAAAATTATGTATGGATTTCAACATTTTTTTTGCATCAAAATAAACTTAACCTTGTACTTCAGTGTTCCCATGAACTTTTTGAAATACCATTATAAATACAGCACACGGTTGTTCTCACTGCTAGTCTTATATAAGCTAAAACAATAAACAGTAAGCTTTAAAATGAGTAAATCTGAGAACCAAGTAGATGTGTGACACCAAAACTGAAGCTCCACTGGACTCTGGAGCCAAACTGCCTTGGTTTGAAAACATTCTCTGCTGAATGATGCTCTGGGTAACAGCTATACTTTCCACGTGTAACTGTTTCCTCATCTGTAAGACCCTGTATAAGAAATAATAGCACTTACTTCTTACAGTTGCTGTGAGAACTAAATAAATTAATATGCTTAGTGTATTTAAGTCATTTATGGTAGAAGGCACATAGCTAATGTTGTTTATGTGTTTGTAGCTACTGTAAGAACTTGCCAAGTTACCTACCCCACCCTTCTAGATTTTTTGTTTGTTTTATCATGAGAAAGCCAGACAGGACAAAGGACTGTAAATCAGGTCTTTCAGTGGATTATATAAAAGGACAAAAATATAGCAATTTAAAAAAAGAACATGTACAAATTTTCTTTTTTTTAACTTTTATTTAGTAAACACATAAATTTCCAAAGTACAGTTTATGGATTACAGTGGCTTCCCCCCCACCATAATTTCCCTCCCACTCGCACCCCTCCCATCTCCCGCTCCCTCTCCCATTCCATTCACATCAAGATTCATTTTCAATTCTCTTTACATACAGAAGATCAATTTAGTACATATTAAGTAAAGATTTCATCAGTTTCCACCCACACAGAAACACAAAGTGTAAAATACTGTTTCAGTACTAGTTATAGCATTACTTTACATTGGACAACACATTAAGGACAGATCCCACATGAGAAGTAAGTACACAGTGACTCCTGTTGTTGACTTACAATTTGACACTCTTGTTTAGGCTCTAGTCATGAGTTGCCAAGGTTATGGAAGCCTTTTGAGTTCGCTGACTTCAATCTTATTCCGACAGGGTCTTAGTCAAAGTGGAAGTTCTCTCCTCCCTTCAGAGAAAGGTACCTCCTTCTTGGATGGCCCTGTTCTTTCCACTGGGATCTCAATCACAGAGATCTTTCATTTAGGTGTTTTTTTTTTTTTTTTTCCCAGAGTGTCTTGGCTTTCCATGCCTACAATACTCTCATGGGCTCTTCAGCCATATCCGAATGCCTTAAGGGCTGGTTCTGAGGCCAGAGTGCTATTTAGGACATCTGCCATTCTATGAATCTGCTGTGTATCCCACTTCCCATGTTGGATAATTCTCTCCCTTTTGATTCTATCAGTTAGTATTATCAGACACTAGTCTTGTTTGTGTGATCCCTTTGACTCTTAGACCTATCAGTGTGATCAATTGTGAACTGAAGTTTGTCACTTGGACTAGTGAGATGGCATTGGTACATGCCACCTTGATGGGACTGAATTTGGAATCCCCTGGCACGTTTCTAACTCCACCATTTGGGGCAAGTCCGATTGAGCATGTCCCAAATTGTACATCTCCTCCTTCTCTTATTCCCACTCTTATATTTAACCGGGATCACTTTTCAGTTAAAATTTAAACACCTAAGAATAGTTGTGTGTTAATCGCAGAGTTCAACCAATAGTACTAGAACAAAAAAAAAATACTAAAAGGGATAAAGTATTACATTGTACATCAACAGTCAGGACAAGGGTTGATCAAGTCACTGTTTCTCATAGTGTCCATTTCACTTCAACAGGTTTCCCTTTCTAGCCTTACAGATAAGAAGATAGGAAATCTTTTAAAAATGTAATGGCATGGTATATATAAAATAAAAGCAATATATTCAATTGGTAAAACCATTACATATTTTGTAGTGATTTTTCTTTCTATCAGAAATGCAAAAAGCAAGAACTGCAGAAATGTCACCAAAAGAGATAGCAAGAAAAAGAGAGAAAAGTCACACTTGCTCTGTGTTTTTGCTTTCCATTATTTTGTGCATTTCACTCCATTCATTTCAGCATTATAATAGTGCATATATTTAATGTATTTCATATTAACATTTATATTTACATAATTTTATTATAAATATATAGCCATAAGGGACAACTGGAGAAATACAGAAAAAAGGAAAAAAAATCATCCTAAGCTCATCATCCCAGAACAGCTATGGGTAACATCTTGGCTCTCCCTCCAAAATCTCTTATGTGTAAAGTGCCAGTTCTTCACATGGTCAGTTTCTATCCTGTGTATCTGCATCTATCTGGTCTCCATCAGCAATAAAACTATCAGTTAAGCTAAATGTATTTGACTAATAATAAATTTTGCAGAAGTCAACTCATATGATCATAGAATGCAGAACCATAAGACCTCTGAGACCATATAAAGCACTTTGAAACTCTGAAATGTCATAGAATACCAAAAGAACAGCTCATCTTCTCAAAGGAACATTTATCTGTCATCATTTTTAAATGGCAGATGAGGTAGCATTTAAAATCCTTAAAAGTTGAGAAGAGAAAATCTGTATAGATTCAGAAAACAATAGTATTGATTTTCAATTAACTATTACTTCCTTATTTAGTTAACTTATATTTTCTTAATTTCCATTTAGATATCAAGTAACAATATACATCTACAATTAGAAATTAAAAGAAACTACCAAATGAGAGAATATTCTATAATAAAAGTAACTGTCCTGATCCTAAAACAGATATTATGTGGCTACATGTAGTACATAGGACAATTAAAAATATTACAGAAAGTTTGCGACATACCTTTGCCAGCTTCATTTCAATTGAATATAAATATGTCCTCAGAAGTGCATCACAACAGAGCCTGTACAAAATGGACTCCGCAACAAAAAATAAGGCAGGCAGATGATCATAATCAAAGGAAATATGGTCCAGGGAAACATAGAGCATATTCAAAGCTTCTGAAATATTACAAAGCAGAAACTCCATCAAATGTAGATCATCCTGTTTTCCCACATGTTAAAATTAATTATTGAAATAAACTACTTGGTCATAAAAACAGATTGTGATTTTAAAATATATTTACAAATTCTTTGGCTCCTTTCCATCAAGGGACAAAATCTATGCTGCTTTCCCCTTAAACTTGAACAGACATTGTGAGTGCTTCAGCAATAAGATGTAATCTACCTGGAGATCAATCTCTCTCCCGCTCTCAAACTAGCTTTGGAAATTTAAATTGCCATATGGGAAATTCTATTCTGCCATTGGATTCAGAAGTCACCCAGGTATGGAGACCACTTAAAGAGATAAAGAAAAATGACCAAGAATGCCAAGCTACTACACCCAACACTCAATAGATTGCTAGCCCACACATATAATGGTAGAAAAATGTATAACCACAGAAATGGATGATGAAAGGCAGTGCTAACAATGTCTGTAAAAGAGAAGAGTAGTATGCTAGAAAGATGAGACAGAGGAAGTAGTACCAACCCGACGAGCACAAGAAGGAAGAATATGGAACTAAGGACCTAGAAAACATAGAATCTCAAGTTACTATAAAGGGTTTGAGGGAAATATCTAGGGGAGAACAACAAATGCAGGGACTTGAGGAAGGAAAAAATAGGACATGTTCAAGAACAGGAAGGGGGCTTAGGATGGCTGGAGCATAGAGAATAACTACAGACATGGCCACAGGGCAAGACACACACAGCCTTGCACATCATAATATGGAACTCGGGTTTATTTTCCGTGAAACTGGAAGCCACTGGAAATTCTTGAAGCTGTAAAATGGTCACTACTGAATGAAGGAGGAACTACAGAATGAGAAGCAAACAAGAGCAAAAGCACGACACCTATTAGGAGTTTCTTTCTTTTGTGGAGATGATGTAAATGGACCATATTTAAGATGTTATTTAGGGTTCTATGTGAATGCTTTCAGCTGAGTTAGTTCCCTGAGGTATTTGATTGTGATGACACAGGAGCTCCAGGCATCAGAGAGAGAGGAACAGAGAAGGAATGGCACATGTTGTTTTCTAAAGCACATTCTGACTTTGCATCCCTTTGGTCAGGACCAGGTCATTTGTTTCCTAATCCAATCACTGGTGAGTGAAAGGGAATTGTTGCAACTGAGCTAGACCAGCTACAGGGGCTGGGCCATGGCCAGTGCTCCTCTGAATCACAAGACTGTAGGATGCCATAATAAAACTGAAATCTAACTGCCAATTCAAAGCAAGTGGCTGCTGATGGAGGGTAAACAAAGAAAGCTTTGCTCAATAGCATTTAAACATTTCAAAGAGGTCAGGATGTGGATGATACTGTGAAGGATTGCAAGTTAAATACAAAATATTTCTTATTCTTCCTCTTGTTTGCATACTCTCAGAAAGCACTATAAACCCAATTTACATGAGGAAGTATTCTCTGACCTCATGTGGTCAACACTCTAACTCATTTTAAAGGGCATATACAAAATATTTAGGATGATGATAGAAATAATTTTGTTCCCTTAAAAATAATGTTATTGGGGACGGTGCTGTGGCATAGCGGGCTAAGCTTCCACCTGTGGCACCGGAATCCCATATGGGCATTGGTTTGAGTCCTGCCTGCTCCTCTTCTAGTCCAGCTCTCTGTTATGGCCTGAGAAAGCAGTAGAAGATGGCTCAAGTGCTTGGGCCCCTGCACCCATGTGGGAGACCCAGAAGAAGCTCTTGGCTCCTGGCTTCGGATTGGCCCAGCTCCCGTGGTTGCAGGCATCTGGGGAGTGAACCAGCGGATGAAAGACATCTCTCTCTTTCTCTGTAACTCTGTCTCTCAAATAAATAAATAAAAATCTTTTAAAAATGTTATTTAATTTCTTTTTTAGGTTGAGAAAAGGGTATCTGAAGACAGATACATAAAAGAAAAGTGTTGGTTTAAATAAGCAGAAAAAAAGTGGTAATTTAATTCCTGTTTTATGATTAAGAATTATAAAATGTAGAAATAAGTTTCTCTGACATATAATATGTATGGTAATTAGAAACTACTGACATTTCATATTATTTTAATGAGTTACTAATTTTAGAAAAAAGTAATAGAGGCTAGAAACTTTTTGAAACAAAATTACAAAGTCCTAACTCAAAAGTATAAAAGGAAGTTTCACAATGAAACAATGTAAGATACTTTAATAGTGATTGAAAAATCTTAATTTTCTCTTACACAATTTCTGAAAAATTTCTCCAGTTGTTTCCTTGGCTACTAATCTAGAAGACACCTAAGATACTTAAGAGGCCAGCTGGAATACATACCATCTTGGATTTCTCCTTTGCATTGAGCCAGAAACACTACTTCAGTCCATGCAGCTGGAAGATCAACATGCTTTCCAGAGCCCAGGGTTTTAAGACCCAGTTTTCTCTGTTACAAGGAAGCATGAAAAGGGCAAACAAATATATGGGGCTTGTTATTTGTTTATTTTTTCCATCTGTTAATTATATTTTGAAAGTCAGTCTATGAGGTCAAGGCTCCATAGTCAGAGTTGAACACATCTTTATAATTTTGTTTTTATCATTTGTATTTTTCAAAATTTTCTATAAACTACATAAGCTTCCAGATGTAGAGAACTGTGGGGAGCAACTCGGACTAGACTAAGTTACTGGAATTAAGACTTATTCTGTGCATCTGCTCTCCCACAATATGGCACTGGGAGAGGAGGAAACACCTTCTACGCAGCTGCCTCCAGTTCAACCAATAAGCAGCAGGACCTGCTCCTGATTGGAGGAGAGCAGCATACTCGGCGTGTGGGCAGCAGAGTTGGGATTGGTGGAAGAGGACTATAAAGGAGGAGAGAGACAACATGCAACAGGGAACATCTATCTGAAGGAACACCTGAGCAGCCCCCGAGAGAGCCGGCCGGCGGTGTGCCGCTCCCCTGCGGAAGTGGGGAAAGTGGCAGGGGGAACCGCCCTTCCACAGAGGTGGAAGGGACGGTAGCCAACCCGGGAAGAACCAGCAGCAAACCCGGGGAGGGCCGAGCAGACAAAAGAACAGCGCAGGGTTCAGTGTCATTCCTCCACGAAGAGGGGGAGCGACATAATGGTGCCGTGACTCGGATATGAAGCCTAGGCAGGGTTTAGTGTCGTTCCTCCATGAAGAGGGGGGGCGACAGAGAACATTTATTAATATGCTGTATCATAATATTAGTTACTTACAGAGAATAATTCTCACTTTTTGCTTGCTTGAGAATATTTTATCTTATTTTCCCAAGAGACTGCATTTCTAATTTTATAAGAAAAAATATTAATGAAATGAGTTTGATGCCAATTTTCTAGAAAACTGCTTACTTCAATGTTGATGGGCTCACCATTAATGAACACAAGAGAGATGATCAGGATGCATTTCCTCCCTCATATCACCTACTCCTGCGGCCACCCCAGGAGCATAGGGCCAACTGGAAAAAACTCATGCATGATTGTATTGATGGTGCTTGCCTGCATTCTCATTTTTTTTTCTCCCTCAAATATTATAAATATATCTTTCCAAAATTTTCAAATGTAAAGGCAAGCAAGAAGTGGGAAAAAAAGAAAAAAAAAAAACCTACCACACATACACATACAAAATAGTGGCTTAATTTAGGCCCCTGGTTTGTACAGGTTTTTTTTTTTTTTAATTTCATGAATTATTCAGCATCAAAGAAAAATTCTATGTATATTTTTCCTGTCAAATTGAATCTCATGTAGGGAAAATCAAGGGAAGCCTATTTTACTTACTGCTTTGCTTTGATATCTGTTTAAAAATTAGAGAACTAATGACTAATGTAACATGCTTAAAAAATTCAGGGCCAGGTATTGTGGGGCTGCAAGTTAAGTCATTGCTTGAGACACCACATCCCATGTGAGCACCAGTTCAAGTCCCAGCTGCTCTGCTTTCATCCAGCTTCCAGCATGCACCTGGAAAGGCGGTGCATGATGGCCCAGGTACTTGCGTTCCTGCCACTCACATGAGACCCAAATGGAGTTCCAACAATTTCCTGGCTTTGACCTGGCCTAGCCCTTGCTGTTTTGGATATTTGGAAAGTGAAGCAGTGGATAGAAGATCTCTCTGCTCTGTCTCTCCTGTGTCACTCCAACCTTTCAAATAAATAAATATTCTACAAAATTTTCACTTATTTTATTTGTTTGAAAGACACAGAGACAGATCTCCCATTCGCTGGTCCACTCTTCAAAGGCCCCTAGTTAGCTGGGGCCAGGCCAGGCTGAAGCTGGAAGCCTGAAACTCAATTCTGCTCTCCCATCTGGATAGGTGTCAGAGACCCAAGTACTTGAGCCTACTGCTTCCCAGGATTCATGTTAGCAGCAAGTGGAAGTCAAAAGCAGAACTGGAACTTGAGCTCAGGTTCACTGATATTGGATGTGGGCAACTGAAATGGGCACCTTATCCACTCCACCAAATGCACACCCCTGTAATAATCTTAAAGAATGTATGCTTTTTTGTAAGTTAAGAATAATTTGTTACAGAGGAAATTCAGAGCATTTTGGCAAGTATGGTAATGGTTTAGGAAGGCTCTCTTTCTTCTCTAGGAATATATTATATCTCAGTTAAAATTTTTTCAGGAAACACTAAATTTTTCATAATCAAAGATTTCTTAGCCAGCTTTTGATATTCTGCTATGGACTATGGAACTGATGTAAAAAAGAATATTTTCCAATAATTTATGAGGAACCTTCATTCCAAAAGCCATTTAACATTGAATTATTTCTGCACTCTGCATTAATATTTTAGCTATGCCTAATTAAAGAAAAGTGTACCTATTAGAATATGTTATCATCTGCCAGCTACAAAAGAAAGTTTATGTAATAAGTAATGAAAGAGTGTACCATTACCTTACATTTGGTAATGCTTTTTCTAGCTATCTCCAACAATTCCTCCTTCTCTACTGGATCCTGCGTTTCATTAAATTTTAAGATGAATTCATTTGTGATTGAAAATGTTGATCTAAACAAAAAAAATTAAATAAAAAGCAGAAATCTATTTAATGGCTATAAGTTACAAGCCTTAATAAAACTGTAATACCTAACTGACTATTTTCTAGAAGAGCTAATTTTTTTAAATAAAAAATATCATGCAAAATTCAGTAACATATTTCATACTACTATAATATGTTAGTAAAGGAGATGCTGGGAGTAGTCTTTAAACTGCTTTACAATTTTTGTTTTGTAAATTTAAAACATTTTATGATATAAAAAGTTAAAAAATATAAATGTGCAGCCCTCTTAGATTGATTTTCTCATACTCTTACATTGAAGAACAAAGTCCCCATTGTCAAAGACCCTTGCGGAATCTGAAAAAAAATGATTCTAAGATGGTTGCCAGGGGTCTAGTTGCTAGATGCCTTCTTCATGGGTAAAATCCAACACAGTTTCAATTATGTGGAGGATTGATTTATCACCTCAGATAAATCAATGTTGGTTCAATTTTAGCTAAATCTTTATTCCCCCCAGGCAAGTGTAAGCAGTCCAGCTGTGCCTGAAGTAAAGTGAGCAATGAAGAAAGAAGTATGAAGTAAGGTCAGAGCAGTGACAAATAGGACAACTAACTCTCTGTGGGACAGGGAACTGTTGCAGGGTTTTAGAAGAGGAGTGAAATGATTTAATTGAGTTTTAACATGATTATTACAATGCTGTATCAAGAATTGCAATGTGAGGAGGTGGGGGTGGGGAGTATGTAGTACAGGTGAGAGAGAATGGTGGCTTGTATCAGGATTATAGCAATGCAAGTAGGAGATGAGTTTGGATAATGTATGTATTTTCATGTTAGTTCATACCAATCTGGCAAATTAATTAGAAAGTAGGCACAAGATGGGGTTAACATTGTGGCATAGCAGGTAAAGACGCCACTTATGACACTGGAATCCCATATGAGTGCCAGTTCAAGTCCCAGCTGCTTCAATTCCAATCTAGCTCCCTGCTAATTTGCCTGGGAAAGCAGCAGAGGATGGTCATCTTTGGGCCCTTGCACCCATGTGGGAAACCTGGAGGAACCTCCTGGCTCCTGGCTTTGGATTGGCCCAGCCCTAGCCATTACACCCATTTGGGGAGTGAACCAGCAAATGGACGCGCTCTCTATCTATTTCTCTCTCTCCCCCCTCCCTCTCTCCCTCTCCCTTTCTCTCTCTCTCTCTCTCCCTCTATCTGTAGACTCTGCCGTTAAATAAATAAAATAAAAAGAAAATAGGAGGCACAAGACAAAGAAGTCATGATCAGAGTGGGTAACTAAAAAGACAGAATTGTTATTTACTAAGATAGAGAAGGTTGTTAGGGATTTCGGGTAAGCTGAAATCATTTCCTGTAATATTTAGACCCAAACAAGAACGTCCACTCTTACTGCAATAATTCAGTATGTAACCAACATTTTAATCAAAGCAATTAAACAGAAAAAATAAAAGGCATACAAATAGGAAAAGAGGACATCAAAGTATCCCTGTATGAAGATGACATAGTTTCATAAAGAAATCTAAGACTCTATCAAAAGACTAGATTTGACAAATACAGCAGCTACAGGACACAAAATAAATATGAAAAAAATCAATAGCATTTTATACACCTATAACAAACTTATTGAGACTGAAATTAAAAGAGAAGTCCCATTCACAATAGTTACAAAAATAATAAATACCTTTGAATCAATTTAACCAATGATTTGAAAAATATCTACAATGAAAACAGCAAAACAGTTACAAAGTAAGCTGAACAAAATAAGCTGAAAAAAATGGAAAGACTTTCCATGTCTATGAATTGGAAGAATATCATTAAAATGTCCATACTACCCAAAGTAACTTACATATTCAAAGAAATACCCATCAAAATTACAATGATATTCTTCATAGAACTTGGAAAAACAATCCTAAAACTCTATAGAAGTACAAAAGACTTCAAATAGCCAAATCAATCCTTATCAGAGGAAACACAGTTATGTGAATCAGAGACGAGATTTCAAGACTTACTACAGAGGTATTGTAACCAAAACATGGTGGAGGCCTAATAACAGGCATACAGACAATGTAACAGAGATTCCTGAAATGAATGCAAGCATCTACATCCAATGATTCCTTGACAAAGACACACACTGGAGAAACATATACTAGAGAAAGAATAGACTCTTCAATATATGCTGTTGGGAAAACTGACTGTACAGAAGATTGAAATAAGGCTCCTCACCTTCACCCACATAGGTTTATTCATAGTGGTATACAAAATCAACTCAAAATAGATTAGATACGTAAATGTTATGCTCTGAAACATGTAATTACCAGAAGAGAACACAGGGGAAGTACTTCAAGATATTGGCATAAACAGTGATTTTTTTGGATAAAATCCAAAAAGCACAGACAACAGAAGCAAAAATAAATGGGATATCATACTAGAAGCTTCTGTACAGCATAAGAGAACAATCAACGGAGGGGAGAGAGTTGTCAGATCAGGAGAAAATATTTACAAACTATTCATCTGACAAATGATTAATATTCATAATATACAAGGAACTTAAAATGTCAACAACAAAGAAACAATCGAGTTAAGAAATGTACAAAGAATATGAATAGACACTTCTCAAAAGAGAAAATACAAATGGTCAACAAACACATGAAGAAATGTTCAACATCTCTGGCTACCAGGGAAATGCAAATCAAGATAAAAACAGGGTATCATCTCACTCCAGTTAGAATGACTGTTATCAAAAAGATTTTTTTTAAATGCTGGTGAGGAAGTGTCGAAGGGAACTGCTATGCACTGTTGATAGGAATGCAAATTAGTACAGCCATTATGGTGAACAGTATGGAGGTTACTCAAAAAAATTAAAAATATATATGCCATTTCACTCAGCCATTCCAGATCTGGGTATATATGTGAAAAAAATGAAATTCACATTAAAGTTAAAGAAATACCTTCACTGCCATGTTCACTGTAGCACTATTCACATGAGCCAAGATGTGTAATCAATCTAGGTGTTTACCAACAGATAAATGCATACGGGAAATGTGGAATATAAACACAGTGGAATATTGCTCATCCATAAAGAATGAAATCTTAACATCTATAGGGAAGTGCATGGAACTAGAAACTATTATGTGAAGTGAAGTAAGCCATAAATAAATATTTTATATTCTTCCTCATATGTGGAAGTTAAAAAATAGTTAATTTGGGGACAGCTGCTACCTGCAATGCCAGCATCCCACATGAGCACTGCTTCCAGTAACAGCTGCTCCACTTCCAACCCAGCTCCCTGCTAATGTACCTTGGAAGGCAGGAGAAGATGGCTCAAGTGCTTGGGTCCCTAGCACCCACAGGGAAGACCCTGATGGAGTTCCAGGATCCTGGCTTCAGCCTGGCCCAGCTCTAGGCGTTATGGTCCTTTGTGGCATGAACCAGCAGGTGGAAGTTCTCTCTATGTCTTTCTCCCTCTCCCTGTCTCTCTGTAACTCTGCCTTTCAAATAAATATTTTAAAAAATAATTAATCTGAATTTAGAATTGGGGTTACTAGAAGCTGAAAAGGCAGGTAGGAGACAGAATAGAGAGGTAAGATAATGGGTGACAAAATACAATCAGATAGAAGTTATAAGTTCTATTGTTCCACACCACAGAGGGGTGATAACAGTTCATAATAAATGTATTATTTTTTGTATAAATAGCTGTAGGAGAGTTGTTGATAGGCTCCAAACACAAGAAAATGATGAGATGGAAATGATGGTTGGCTGGATTGATCAGTTTATGCTGTCTATCTGTTGAAGTATTAAACTGTACTCCATGATGGTGTTAATCAGAAGACTAGTACTTAGTAAATTTCTACTGATCGATAGGTATAGGGTGTCTTTTCTCCCCCAAAACTCTATTGTGTGAAAAAGGGAATTGATGATTGACTTTTTGTTTGAATTTATGTATAGGATTAGCATATCAAGTAGATATTTCTACTTATGTAGTAGGAAAAGGAAACACTATGAAAGTATGTAATAATTTCCAATGCAAATTTTTCAATACACAATTGATTTTTGAAATAAATGTTTTTGCTGTCTTTAAAACTTTTAAAAAATAAAGTACGTTGTTAAAAGAGTAAAAAAGGTAAGTTGACTAAGCCGATAACAGGTAAGGATATTAGATCAGAATCAGCAAATAGGTCTGCTGATAAAGAAAAGTCCAGGGCCAGAAGATTTCATGGGTGAAGCTGACCAAGCATTGAAATGTGAATTAATATTTATCCTCTTTAGACTTTTCCAAAACATAGAAGCAATACTCCTAAAATTATTTCTAAATATTTATTTATTTATTTATTCCAGAGGCAGAAGTAGAGAGAAAGAGAGATTTTTTCATCTGCTGCCTCACCCCAAAAAGCTGCAAAAACCAGGGCTGGGCCAGGCCGAAATGAAGAGCCTGGAGCTTCATCTGTGTCTTCTGTGTGGATAGCAGGGGCCCAAGTATTCAGGCCATTCTCCACTGCCTTTCTAGGGACGATAGCAGAGAACTAGATCAGAAGCAGAGCGATCAGCACTCAAACTGGCACCCATATGGGATGTCAGGCATCATAGGTGGTAAACTCAACCCACTAAACCACAATTCAGGCTCCTCCAAAACTTATTTTTTTTTAACTTTTGTTTAATGAATATAAATTTCCAAAGTACGATTTATGGATTACAATGGCTTCCCCCCCATACCGTCCCTCCCACCCACAACCCTCCCCTTTCCTACTCCCTCTCCCCTTCCATTCACATCAAGATTCATTTTCGATTATCTTAATATACAGAAGATCAGCTTAGTATACATTAAGTAAGGATTTCAGCAGTTTGCTCAAAACTTATTTTAAGAGGCCAGAATCAACCTGACTCCAAAACTACAAAGAAAAGACAGCAGTAGGCCAATATCCTTGATGAACCTTAACATAAACCTCATCATTGAAATATTAACAAACTGAATATAATGACACATTAAAAGAACCATACACACAT